GAAAAAAACCTGGCATCATACCTATTGGAGCATGGAGTTGTTCATCAAAGCAGTTGTATATACACACCTCAACAGAATGGTGTAGCAAAAATGAAGAATAGGCATTGTGGAAGTAGCAAGAAGCATGATGTTGAGCTCTACAGTTCCAATTCATTTTTGGGGTGATGCAATTCTTACAGCAATTTTCTTGATTAATCAGGTACCTTCTCATGTTCTTGGATATAGCATTCCATCTAGCCTTCTTTTTCCTGAGGGGGAGACATTCCATATTCCTCTAAGGGTGCTTGGATGTGTATGCTTTGTCCATGTTCTTGGTCCTCACCACTCAAAGTTGGATCCTAAGGCGAAGAAGTGTGTCTTCCTTGGGTATGCAGGAAACCAGAAGGAGTATTGTTGTTATGATCCAATCTCTGGGAGTCTGTATGTTACTATGGATGTCACCTTTTTTGAGTCCACACCTTTTTTTTCGGGGGTTCTTTTCAAGGGGAATGTTTTGGAGAAGGAAGTGAGCAATCTATAGCATTTCCTGTTCCAGCAACTTTGTCTACTCTAGTGTCTGACTTACTTATCTCACCCATTTTGCCAACTCCATTACATCTTGTCTTTCAGTGTTTTACACGGCAGTGCCTACGACAGCACAGGGAGGTTGATTTCACAGCAGAGGAACCCACGTCACTCCCTATCAGCTCATCGGAGATTCTAGGTTCGATTAACATAGACCTAGGTATGCCTCTTGTTCCCCCTAATGGTTTAGTTCCTATTGATACTACTACCCCTACTCCTAACACCATCACAGATGGCCTTGATCTCCCTATTGCCCTCAGAAAAGGGAAGAGGAAGTCTACTAAAAGGCGCGCCTAGGCACATAAGTGAGGCGCATTTCAGGGTAGGCGCCCCGCCCAAGTCCTAGGCGTAACCCTTTCAAAAGGCACACGCTTGGTGTGCCTTGCGCCTCAGCCCAAGTGTGCGCCTTTTGAAATTTTAACGCTTTTTTGCCTCAGCCCAGGCGTGCACCTTTGCCCACATTAGGTCTTAATTTCTTAGTTCTCACACAAAAAATAATGATTTTATAGTCCCCTATTTGGTAATGTTCATTCATTCATTCATCCTAATAAAATATCTTCTTAAAAAGCAATGAAAACTATAAAATCATTATTTTTTGTGTGAGAAGTAAGAATTTAAGGCCTAACGTGGACTTGTTTGGGCTTGTCTCAAGGGGCGTGGCACAAAGGCGGCTCGTAGAATCAGGAATGTAATATATTTTACATCACTTTAGCTACTTGAAGTAATGCAATTGAGAAAAAAAGAGATTGTGGGTTCTATATGCTTGAAAATGTTTTATATATTTGATTTTATTTTTAAATTCTCATTTGAATATGCTTTACATGTTATATTTATGTATTTTAATATTAGATAATAGGTTTTTTAAAACATTTATTTCAAAATTAAAGTTTACATTTTTATTAATATTATGTTTAATATTTTTTTGAATTTTTTTATTTTTCGTGCCTTGCTTAAAAAGGCGTGTGCCTCAGGCGCAAATTGACCCATGCGCCTTTTTTGTGCCTTGCGCTTTTAAAACATTGACATTGCATCTCACACTATCTTTCCTATAGTGGATTATCCCCTTCCTATCGAGCCTTCCGTGACTCAGTGTTTATACCCAGGAGTTGCTCTCTCCAAACTTGAGTGGAAGACGGTTATGCAGGAGAAATGAAAGCATTGATTAAAAATCAAACATGGGAGATTGTGAATTTGCTCGATGGCAAGGAGATAGTTGGATGCAGATGGGTTTATACAATGAAGTACAAGGCTGATGGGAGTATAGAAAGGTACAAGGCAAGGTTGGTTGCAAAATGGTATACTTAGACTTATGGCATAGATTATTTGGAAACTTTTGCACCAGCGGCAAAGATGAGTTCAGTTTGGATTCTTCTATTACTAGAAGCTACATACTCATGGCCACTCTTCCAACTTGATGTGAAGAATGCCTTTCTCAATGGGGACTTGCAAGAGGAGGTGCATATGGATCTTCCAACTGGCTTCTACAATAATGTGGAAAAAGGAAAGGTATGTAGGTTAAAGAAGTCTTTATATGGTTTAAAGCAATCATCCAAAGCTTGGTTTGACAGGTATAGAAGTGCATTGGTTGTATTTGGCTATAGTCAAACTCAATCTGATCATACTCTTTTTGTGAAGAGGAGGGGGTCATTGGTGTCAGTTTTGATAGTGTATGTGGATGATATTGTAGTCATAGGAAATGATTTGAGTGAGATTGATACCCTGAAGAAGAATTTGCGCAATGAGTTCGAGATTAAGAATCTTGGGGAGCTGAAGTACTTTATGCGCATTGAAGTGGCAAGGTCCAAGAATGGGATCTTCATCTCATAGAGGAAGTATGTTTTAGATCTACTATAGTAAACAAGAAAACTTGGGTCAAGAGCAGCTGATACACCTATTGATCAGAACCACTGGATAAATGCTTCAGAGGGTGAACTAGTGAAGGATGTTGGAAGATATCAGAGGTTAGTGGAGCGGTTGCTATACTTGTGTATGACACGACCAGACATCTCTTATGTAGTGAGTGTGGTGAGTCAATGCATGCATGCCCCACGAGTTCAGCATTGGGAGGCTATTGACAGGATACTTGCCTATTTGAAGGCAAGGGACACCTAGGTAGAGGCATATTGTTAGAGGCTTACGCGGATGCTAATTGGGCAGGGTGTTTAGATGACAGAAGATCTACATCAGGAGTTTGTACTCTTGTTGGAAGTAATTTAGTTTCATAGAAGAGTAAGAAACAGACATTTGTGGCAAGGTCAAGTGTAGAAGATGAATACAGAGCCATGGCACATGGTGTTTCAGAGCTCCTCCGGATCCGTTCCTTGTTAGGGGAGATTGGAGTTGAGGCCGAAGAACCTATGATGCTATATTGTAACAATCAAGCAGCAATTAACATTACCCACAACCCAGTTCAGCATGATAGGACGAAGCATATAGAAGTGGATAGACACTTTATAAGGGAAAGGGTGACATCCGGAGAAGTTTGCTTGCCATATGTTGCATCTGACTTCCAGCTTGCTGATGTTCTTACAAAAGGAGTTGCAAGAAACAAGCTGGAGCATGATCTACGCTGGTTGGGAATGTGTGACATTTATTCCCAACTTGAGGGGGAGTGTTGAGTTTTGGGCTGATATAACATGTTTTTATTTACATAGCATAGTTAGGGAGTTACTGGGCCTTAGGCCCATTAGTTTATGTTTTGAGTTAAGAGTGTTTTTAAGTTCTCACAAGTAGCTCACTTACTAAGGGCATACTTGTCTTTGTACTCTCTTTTATTCATGAGTATATAATCTAATGAAAGGGGTGGCCAGACCTAATTCTGAGCTTCTCCCATTCTCTTCTCTCTCTCTTCTCTCTCTTTCTTAGCTGAAACCTTTTCTTACTATAGATAGTAATGTCAAAATAACAATAAAATTCTGAAACAGAACTCTTTTCTTAAGACACCTACAACTATAAAATAAATATAAAAACCTGAAATACTATCAATATCCTATCACCCAAAAAGTCTGAAATTGGTATACAAATCGAGAAAGTGTTTTAATTTTCCTTGGATTCTTTCCTTGCTCCAATGTCCATACGAAAGGGTGCAATGTGCCTCTGTGGTGACTTTTTTCTTTATAATGCTGTAACATCAAACTGATGGGTGCACACCACCCAATGAGTTTTGCTCCCAAAGAATTTTTCTTTCTTCTTCTCTCCCCTTCTTCAAGCACTTTTTTCATGTGTATTTACTTTTTAATCAGATTGTTTCAGATTAGTTTTAGCATTCTTTTTCGAACTAAAGAAGTCAGTTTGGAATTAGAGCAATCTCTCTTCCTTCCTCTTCGTGCAATACCCATTTATCACTAGGATCAACAGTGTACAAGGGGAATTGAAGTTGTTGGTCATTCTAGGTCATGTCGCCTGATCTTTAGATGATTTTTGGAGAAAGATACCAACTTGGTTTGTAAAATCGAATAAATAAATCAGAAAACAGCAAGAAAAAGAGCAGAACCCAGAGAAGAGAAGAACAGATGAAGATGAAGAATAGAAGGCAGAATGGTAGGGGAGCAAAAAGTCTAACTTCTGCCCTCTTCATTTCTATTTGTATTAAAGACCAAATAGGTGTACAATGACTACTATACTCCTGTCTTCCAAAATAATAAAGAATAAAACAATACAGCAGCACAAATGATCAAAACAGTCACTATAGATGAGGAAAATATATATAAAAAAAAAATGCAGTAAACAAGCTGAAAGCATTCATACCCCCCCTGAAGTTGGGTAGAGATATTGGTCATGCACAACTTGCTTAAGTCATTTTCTAGCTTATTCTTTATTGTTTTTTGAGTAAAAATCTGCTAACAACATTTTGAAAGTGACTTAAGGCAAACAAAATTCGGCAAAAGTTACTCTTACCTTGGTAAAATGTCAGTCCACTTCAATATGCTCAGTACTATTCCGATTCAAATTTCTAGAGCTTTTGATTATTTTAAGAGGGCCCGTCTCTTCAAATACCAAGGCATGGCCTAGAAAACAGCAACTGAAACCTGTTTGTTACTTTCTTTTCTTTCTTTCTTTATTTTTTGAGGAGAGAGAGAGAGAGAGAGAGTATGTATTTTCAATAGATGGATTTTCTGTGTTGCAATATTTCCTTTTATTTGGAATTTACATTGGGAATAGAAAAATGTTAGTCCTTGCCATTCCATCACACACAAAAGCACAAGCTGATACACAGAAGGTGTTCTGTCTCCAATTACCATGGTTACAAAAATAAAGTGGTATTTTGTTCTCTGAAACAATGGATATGGTACTGAATAGAACAGAATGGAAGAACAGGACTCATATAGCTGATATGATATGATACGATGATGATGATGGTGGTGGTGGTGGTGTTTTAATCTGATCTTTTTGCTTTGTTGTATTTATTCTAACATTGATAAATATTGCATGTATAGGCACATATCCGGACAATGAGTGGGAGAATAATGGAGACTATTCTGAGCCTGAGGTTTTTTATTTTCCAGTATGGAATTGTGTACAAGCTGCAGGCATCAGGAAATGATACGTCATTGACGGTAGGAGCATTTTACAGTGATCTTAATATTTTCCATTTTTTTCCTTCAGATTTTTAGTTTAATGGTATTTCTAGAAACCTATGCTTTGATCAATGGTTTAATGTGTTTTGTAAATATTTTTCTTTTCAGGCCTTGTATGTTTTTCCAATTATTCATAAAAACTCTTTCTTTTCTGGTTATAAGTTTTCTAAGTTCTTAGTTTTGGTCGTGTAAGATGGCATTTTTTAAGTACAAGAATGATATGACACATTCTAGCACTTGTTAAATATTGGTAGACATGCATATTCCCAATAAAGAGACAATTTTTCCATGTTGAACGTGTATTTGGTTCTGACACAATGGATGCTTGAGACTTGAGAGATATTTCTTCATATTGTTTTCTTTTTTCTCCTTTATTGTTTGAAACTGGTGAACAGTTCACATGCATACTGGACAGTCTTTCCTAATAGAATGTCCCTAGGTAGAAAAGGTAAGTTTTTCCATTTGCATGTGCTTGTATGGTTCTGTGATATTGGAAATGTGATATAAAATTTTTTAATAGGAGATATACCTTATTCCACAGAAAAACAAAGTATATCCATTCATTTTTTTTTCTGAAATCTATTTTATGCTTTTCTTTTATTCACCATCATTTATAACTTGCAAAAAAGGGTAAATAATGAATTATCTTTCTACTATAAAATAGACATTATTAAACTAGAATATTCATTTTATGTATTTATATACTAATTTGTTTTTATTATTTTCTTATTTGTTAGGGTTTAATTAGCACAAACATTGCTAACTTCTGTATTGAACCCATGGTTCAAAGTATCGATACACCTCTGTGTATCGGCAGAGGTGTATCGGTACTTATAACGCTACTCCCCCTATTTTTTTATTTCTTTGGTTTTCAGTTTCATTTTTGAACCCTCAAAGATTTCAAAACCCGAACCAATAAGCAAGGGAAGAATTTAAAATTGTCTAATCAACACATTTTCTTCTTCCACCTTTTCTTTTCTTTGTTCATTATTTACCCTTATATTTTTTGAATTTTCTTTCCTTTGTTCTTTTTCTTCTCATAAAATGTTGATTTTCTAGACTTAAACATGAAATTTATACTTCTCTTATGAACATTATGGATAATTATTACGGAAAGATGGTTATGGAACCTAGGGAACTACCCTAGGATATATGGTTTTACTTAAAAAAAAAAAAAAAAAAAATCCATCACCTAGGCAACTAGGCGACAAGGCGCCCCCCTGTTGCCTAGCCTCGCCTTGGCGCCTTGAAAACTATGCTTGATGAGTACAGACCTTGTCTCATGATTAAATGCAACCCAATGCCATGTAGAGATGGTCATCTGCCTTTGTAATGACAGTATTGTTTCTGATTCTGGTGTTTGAATTTTGATGATGTATCAAGATTTTAAGGATTTAGATCTTTGCTTTTTCCATTCTTTGTTTTTGCTTACTGTTTTGTGAAAACATGTTAAAAGAAATTTTTTTGAGCTTAAAATGCTACTCCGTGAGGTATTGTTTGATAAATGCTAATTCACGACATGTCTTACCGATTTGGATAATTTCTATCATCATTATAAAGATGTGTGTTTCCATGTAAAATGTAGTATATTTTGCTCACATTTTCTGCTTTTTTTTGAGGGGGATTTCAGTAGTCACATATGTCATCATAGTTAAAGTAGCAAATGTCATGTCTTCCTGCCAAATGCAGCAATTCACATATTTCAATAGTTTTTAGCTTGCTAATTGATGTCATACTTCATTGACAGTTTTGACACAGTAATTGGTTAGCTTTCCTTTTTGGAAGATACTACCAAGTATTAATACATTATATTACTATTTATAGGTATATGGTCTGTCGTGGATCGTGCTAGCTGTCCTGATGATTCTTTTCAAGGTGTGCAATATAACTCTCTAAGCAGTTGGATACTTCCACTCTTGTATGTGATATTCTTCTGATCTCTTATTGTAAAGTTCCTTTTGTGTCATGGATTTTCAGGTGTTTACCTTCAGTCAGAAGATATCAGTCAATTTCCAGCTGCTGTTGCGCTTTGTCCAAGGCCTCTCCTTCATGTTAGCACTTGCTGGTTTAGCTGTTGCAGTTGTATTTACAGATCTTTCTTTGCCAGACATCTTTGCATGCATCTTAGCATTCGTTCCCACTGGGTGGGGAATTCTTTCAGTGAGTTACATTTCTCAGTTATAATCATTTAATACTTTTTATAATTCTTTCATTTTATTGCTCTTTATGTATATGAATGGAAACTACTAATATATACATTATAGTCATTATACATTTCAAGAAAAAATAGATTTTAGTTCTTTATTAAGGGAAAAGTGAGCTGACCCTCAGCAAGTGCATGCATAATAAAATAAGTGACATTTAATATGTGGATGGTGTGTATGATACACTATTTCAGTTGGTAAAATGTCTACTTTAAAATATTGTGTTTTCTGCTTCATCTAGTTGGAGGACAAGTTGGATGAATGTAATATAAGATTTCCTTTTTTGGTCGAAAAGATGATTCGTTCCACAGCAGCAAAATGAACACAACAGAATACAAAGCAAAGAAACAACTAGAATCAAAGACACAACAGACAACTACACTCGGATACTAGTAAAAAAAACTAAAAACAGACATAACTGAGTTCGTTTTTGAGTAACTAGAAAATTCCTATAAACGGATCAACAATCCAAAACCCTTTTGAATAGTACTCCACTTACAAACAACCTTTTTAGTCCAAGTTCCTTAAACTAAGTTCATTTTGAGTTTTGACTCATTTATCCATTCTCTCCTGTATATATTACAGTGACCGATTTTTAGAAAGATTGATGAAAGTTGTAATGGTTTCGCAATCATAAAATCAATAGTTTTTTGGGAGAATGACTGTTGAGCCCACAGAATTCTTAGCCCCACTGTACAGGTGGGATGAATCCTGACCGTGGATTGATGCCAAATCCACGGGCAGGATGCGGTTTATAGGTGGGGGGGCTACTAGTAGACTATGGGGGGCAAGATGCAGCCTAAAAAATAAAGCAGAATTACAATTTAGCCTGAAATAATTGATCCTTATGCACCCTTGGCTAGCTAAAAAGTCCAACTTATTTTCCGATCTCCTTTCCCAATGGACTCTAGCTGTTATATTGGAAGTTAGCCACTTGAATCTCCAGTTCCTTCAGCCACCCAATTACCAGTTTAGAGTAACCTTCAATTCACAATCTCCCATAGTTCAGCTCTCTAGCAATCTCCTTGTAAAACTGCTTCGACGTCTGCACTAACAGCATCCCCCACACTAGAGAATAAGGCAACAATCTGACCCTCTGCATTTTTGAAGACTCCCCCAATACCAAGAGGCCCAGGATTATCTAGGCTGCTACCTTCAAAATTTAGCTTGATAAAACCTTCTTCAGGGGGCTCCCAAGCTATAACTGGCTTGTTGTTGACAATAGAACCAATTCCCAATTTCGCCTGTTGGTAAAAGAGAATTGCAAGAAAAGGTCCTATGATTTATCCCAATTGATAGCCTTGTTCAATATGCAATCTCAAACAATAGTCTCATCCCTCTCTTTATCATTAAATATTCTAGCATTTCTATCCCCCACCCCACACACACACACTATCCACACCAAAGCAGCCCTAGCACATCTACATAAAACTCTTCATCTTCATTTAGGCCACGTGAAGGTTGTAGGGTTGAATAGACCACCAATCTGCAGAAGCACAATCCACCTGCAACCAAATGGAGCAAAAAGCTTTTCCCAAAGTCCTACAATAAAGAAGCAAGAGATTAGTAGGTAGTAACAACTTTCTCCATTAGCTTTGCAAAGGATACACCAATTTGGGGAAATAAGGCTAGGTCTTCTCTTTTGCAGATTGTCCATAGTGTTTAGTTTCCCAAGAGAGACTTCCCAACAAACATCTCCCACCATAGGAGGGATGGGTTTGTTCCAAATTTCCTTACAATAAAAAAGTTGAGGGTTAGGTATCTAGGAAATTCTAGACAATAATAGGGCACATAGGCATAACCTAGGTGATATAAAATGAAAAATAAAATTGTAGGTTGGTTCCTTAATTTGGCATTGCCAATTATCATATTAAAAAGACAGTAGTATTTAAATATATTAATTTACATATTTACAGAAGAACATCAATATTCAAGCCTTGTTAGGTGTATTAAAGATGAATATCAAAGAATTTTGGTAATACATGGAGAAATCAAGGAAAGATGGAAAAACTATTTTGAAAAATTATTAAATGAACATGTAGAGGTGACTAGTGGAGGAGAGATTAGTCATAGTAATAGTGTTAGAATAGCATGTACCTTTATAAAATTAGAATCACTGAAGTGAAAGAGGCACTAAATAAGATGAGGGGAAAGGTGCTGGGACCAAATGGTATACCAATAGATGTAGGCGAAGGTATGGAAGAGGTAGCTTATTATGGCTAACTAAGCTATTTAATAAGATAACGAAAGAAAAGAAGATGCCTGATGAGTGGAGAAAGAACAGTATCAGTATGGTGTCTATATTCAAGAACAAAGGTGATGATATACAAAGTTGTAATAACTATTAGGGCTTAAACTCATGAACCACACTATGAAACTCTGGGAGAGAATATAGAGCAAAGGTTAAAAACATGAAACAAGTATAACAGAGAACTAATTTGGGTTTATGCCAGAGATCAACCATGGAAGCATGGTTGCTCATTGACCTAGATTGACCTAGAAAAAGCATATAATAGTCCCCAAAGAAATAATATGGAGGATCTTGGAAAAAGGAAGGTGTCCCCAATAGGTATACCGACCTAATTAAGGATATGTATGAGGGTGCAATAACCAATGTTAGAACACCTGTGGGAGAAACATCAAATTTATGATGGTTTTTCACCAAGGTTTAAACGCTTAGCCCCAATTTATTTGCATTGATCATAGATGAATTGACCAGATATATTCAGGAGGAGGTCTCATGGTGCATATTGTTTGCTGATGACATTGATCAATGAAACTAATGAAGGATTAAATGCAAAATTAAGTTTATGGAAAAATACCTTAGAAACAAGAGGTTTTAAAGTAGGACAAACAAAATATATATGTAAGGTCAATCTTTAATACCAAACCATATGTAAAGTTCATCCTTAATCCTTAAAGTGTACCTTGGTCTACAATCCCAAGTGCAAAAAACAAGGTACACTTGGGATTGTAGACCAAGAGAAAACCAATGTTCAGAGAACCGCACCGGGCATGGAACCATATTCAGGAGAGGTTCACGGGTCAGAGGTTCAACTAGGGTCAAACTGGAGGTCTAATCGTGAATAAAAGCCTAGTGCATGAGGCTCCCACCAAAAAGGTTGAACCGTGAATGGTGTGGCATATATGTATATATACCAGGTCACATAAATACTATGTATAATATATTTTACAAATTATATCATACTTGAATGTAGTGGATGGATGGATGGAAAGTTCCCTAATTTTTAAAACAAATAAGTAAATAACCAGGATTCAAGCCAGAAATTAAAAAAAAAAAAAAAAACAGGGTTCAAGCCTCTTAACTCACTTTTTTCTATAAAATACATGTGTAATAAAGTAATATATACAATAAAGAGTCATAAATTAACACAAATAGAGAAATGGATTAATGGTAATTGAGCAATACACATTTTCTTTCAAGTCTTGCCATAAGCATTTTGAAATTTCAATTATTTAGTGACCCAGGCAGTTTCATGAAACTGGGACCAGTTCTCTAGCTAAACCAGATGGTCTTCCTGTTTTGACCTTTTCTATCATTTCCAGTTTTTATGGTTTGATTGAACCAGCCAGTGCTCTGGGTCATGACCAGCTTATCCAGTCCGGTTTTCCAAGCACTAGAGATAACTCAATGAAGGAGAGATTGAGGAGGATGCCGCCCACAGGATTAGAGCTTGATGGGCAAAACACAGGGGTGCATCCAAATTCTTATGTGATGGACAAATACCACTTGGTTGAAGGAAAGTTCTATAAAACAACTGTAAGGCCAACTATTTTGTATGGAATTAAGTGTTGGCAGTTAAGAAACGGTATGTCCAAAAAATGAGCATGGTAGAAATGCGAATGCTTGCATGGATGGGTAGTAAAATTAGAAAGGACAGGGTTTGAAACGAAGTCATACAAGGGAACCTAGGAGTAAATCCAATAGGCGATACGATACGAGAAAGTAGACTGAAATGGTTTGGTCACATTCATAAGACATTATGGCACCGGTTAAAAGAAGTGATCTGTTACAAATTGAAGGGACTAGAAGAGATACTGGCAGACAAAAAAGGACTCGACTGGAAGTGGTAAGAAATGCATAAGTACTCATAATTTAATGATATGGCACTGAACAACAGAATGGAAAGGTGAAACAGGGTTCATGTAGCTGACCCCTTACTTGAGGCAAGGCTTAGATGATGATGATGTATGATTTTATGAAAACAAGTTAAGGTCAGGTGAGTACATCATTTACTGTCCTTTTCTTGGAAAATATTTTAGTCTGTTAGGCGAACTATTGTATTATTTATATAATTGGAGCCTAAAAAGTTATTTATTATTTATCAAAAAAAAAAAAGGTTGTTATTAATTGCTTCTAGTTTGTGGTCGCATCCATGATAAAATGGAAATATTTTAGTTTGTGAGGTATAGAAGTACTTGCTCCCGTAATGGCTGTCCTTTTTCTTTGAAGTCGGAAACCTGCTGGACCCCATTTATATATGTTAGCAGAAGTTCATCATTTACTGCTGTGCAGTCCACTGTATTGTTGTTGGGATGATTCTTCCTGAGAATTAAGGTATTACTTCTGTTGGGAGTGGGGAATGAAAGAAAGCCATTGTAAAACTGTTAAGAAGTTTTCTTTGTTCTACATCATTTTGTCATATCTTTTATACAGGTTCTTATCAGCATCTATCAATTTATTTTTCACGTTTGACGTACAACTGGTTTATGCAATTTCAGATAGCTGCAGCTTGGAAACCATTGACGAAGAGGCTGGGTTTGTGGAAATCCATTCGTTCAATTGCTCGATTTTATGATGCCGGAATGGGGATCCTCATTTTCATCCCTATAGCATTCTTCTCATGGTTCCCCTTTGTCTCAACATTTCAGACCCGACTCATGTTCAACCAAGCATTCAGTCGAGGGTTAGAGATCTCTCTCATCCTTGCTGGAAACAACCCCAACACTGGGATATGATGACAGGCTGTGACCCATGCAGTAATATCTGTATAATATGAGATGGCCCAACGCAGATTGTTTTCAGTCTCTCGCGGCTAAGGTTTCTTTCATACTCTTTAGTTTCATGGATATCGGGCGTGGTGGAAGGGTGACTGTCTATTTGTAGACCAATTCTAATTCAATTGGGGATCTGCAGTAAGTGTAGTACTTCAGTAGAAGAAATGTAAAAAAAATACAATATGATTGTATATGTTTTTCTTGATAAGCAGAATATGATTATATTGAATGATAGACCAGAACGTATTTTTGCCAAATTATAGTAATTTTGCTTAATCGATCAGCCAATCCTTTTCATTTAAGCTTGTAAACGGAGAATCGTGCCATATTCAAATTCGATTTCAATTGCAATTGTGGTGATCCGAATTCCATTCGATACTCAATGAATACTTAAAATTATAAATTGAATTTGAACTCAACTAGATAATCAAATTTTTTATTTAATTCGAATTCAACCAATTATTTGTATTGATATTAAAAGCCTGATGTCTTTAAACCAAACTAACAAGGAGAAACAACCTCTCCTATTCCCCTGTGGGGTAAAGTGTAAAGCTTGTTCACTCTGGATCTCTTCTACAAAGAACAATAGTTGCAAACGGACAGGGGATGATAGAGGGAGAGAAAAGGGGGAGATGAGATGGAGCAAGGGAGGAACCATACTACCACCTATAGATTAATGAAACAAAAGAAGAGTGGTCTTGTCACTGTCACAAGTAATCATTGTCCCTTTCTTATAATGAATAGGATTGTTATTATAAAACACAGCTATCTATATTATATTGGATAATTACGGGATCCAGTCAATACACATTTGAATTCGATTCAATAAATCAACAATATGAAATAAATATTTTGAATTCGACCATTTGTAATATTTAAATTATCAAATTTGAATTTGACTAGAAAGATATAATGCCCGAAAATTTGTAATCAATCAACTGGCATCAATCAAGTGATAACCAATCAGGAAATCAGATTACATTTATCCAAATTCATAGGGGATTTTGATTGGTCAAAGCCCTTCCAGTATCCTGTCTTTCCGACAGCATAGTTTTTCCCAATTTATAATGTTAAGAGTTTAAGCAAAAATCAATTTTAACGTTATTAAAATAAATTTTCAAAGAAGTGCAACTGCAGATGGGAAAGTTTGTGAGGAACTCTAGTTTGATAGGTACAGATGTAAGTAGTTAAGTTACAGGACAGTTTCTTTTTCATTTTTTGTTGCAAGGTTTTTCTTGTTAATTATTTCATTCATAGATCATTCGGACTACTCATAAATCCAAATGAAAATATCTTCATTCTGGATACGGCTATGGTGCACACGACTATTGTAATTGTAAGGGTATAATACCGCATGAATGTATGATATGATGCGGATAGGTAGTGGGAGTTATAACCTTTTAATAAGTTTAAACATTAAATGTTTGTTCTAATATACCTACGACTACGACCTACCTTGAATTTGTCGAACTGGCAAAAAAATTAAAAAAAAAAAAAAAAGAAAGAGTATCCATGATTAAAAACTATGGATATGCAATTTTTGCCTAGTTTCAGTCAAATACTTATACGATCATACCACCCTTTGGGTTAATAACTTATCTCTTTTGTCCACTACAGTATAGGGAAATTGCAACGGAAGAGAGATAAGTCAAACAAAAAAAAGAGTATTTTAACAAAATTCCCATATTTTAAAGTTGATAAAACACCCTCATTTAAAGTACTAAATATAGTTCTATCATCTCATGTTTTTATTTTATCTTAATTTTTCCCTTAATATATTTCAACTTTCATTCTCACCTGAACAGCTGAAAGGGAAAAATGGACTTTTGAGAAGTCCAAATGTCAAGTGAGCACCTGTTCTGCTGTTACTAAATCCAACGGCATATAGTTTAATGGGAAGAATAAGTAAACATCTTAACCACTTTCTGAGATTTATTCCTCTAGTTATACGTTCAGGACCAAGTAAACATCTTAAGAGCTTTACATTCTCAATAATACACCCAGTACTACTGGTGCACAATGTGTTCTAAAACCGTAGGTTGAGAATGTAGTTTTTAATAATAGCCTTTGAGGTTCAACGTTCTTGTCAAACTTTCCAATTTTAGGATACTGGAAAGCGAGATTTATATAATCTGATTTGTTGAACAATTATTGAATAATGGCAAACCGTAGATTGAGCGTGGATTTGAATGACAAGCAAAATGATAATATACGGCTTCGAGACGAGTCATTACTTAAGCACTTAATTTATTTTATACTGTCAACCAATGATACCATAGCAAGTAAAAAGGAACCGATCAAATTGGCATTCTGCGGGAGGGGAGAGAATAAATTGACAATGCATGATAAGAATTAAGAATTAAGAGAGAAAATTGACAATGGACAGAAATCTGTCAGTTTGCCTGGAAAGAAATATGTTTATTGGTTTTAATCAAAACACACTGTAAGTAATGGCAAAATCCGCTTCAACCCAAACCAAAGCAGAATTAGTACACAACTAAGAAGAAATAATAATGAAAAAACGAAAAAAAAGAATTGATTTTTAGGTACCTTCGAGTTCGAGGTCATTGTCCCAACAATGGAATGGGAGAAGAAAGAAACAACAAGCGGAATAGATGGAAAAGAAAAAGAAAGCATTTAAAAACATGCATGATAAGAAGCATTTCTCGGATGCAAGGTGCATCTCTTCAACCTTGGCTCTTGCCATGCATAATCAGAAGCATTTCCTGTGCACAATAGATGGCCCAGATTCATCGTACTCTCCCTTTGAAATCCACATCTGTAGGAAAGAAAATAAATAAATAAATTCAGGTAATCAGACATTTTACAATCGTCTTCTGGCCAAGTATAATGCTAACATGCATTGCCTACCAAAAACAATTTCTGACCTGCATTCGTATGTCTAATGCTATTACTACTAAAGACAATAAATACCTGCTGGAAAGTGCTGAGAGATGCCAAGATGGATCCCCCAATCCAAACGCTGTACTTCCTCTCAGGTGGAGCAACAACCTTGATCTTCATGCTGCTGGGTGCTAATGCTGTTATTTCCTTGCTCATCCTATCRGCTATGCCTGGGAACATGGTGGAGCCACCACTGAGGACAATGTTGCCATAAAGATCCTTCCTAATATCCACGTCGCACTTCATGATAGAGTTGTATGTCGTCTCGTGAATGCCAGCAGCTTCCATACCAATCATGGACGGCTGGAAGAGAACCTCTGGACATCTAAAACGCTCAGCACCAATGGTGATCACCTGCCCATCAGGCAGTTCATAACTCTTCTCTACAGATGAGCTCGTCTTGGCTGTCTCTAGCTCTTGCTCATAGTCAAGAGCAATGTATGCAAGCTTCTCTTTCATATCCCTCACAATTTCACGCTCGGCTGTGGTGGTGAAGGAGTAACCACGTTCAGTCAAGATTTTCATCAAGGCATCTGTGAGATCACGGCCTGCAAGGTCAAGACGCAGGATGGCGTGTGGAAGGGCATAACCTTCATAGATGGGAACAGTGTGACTGACACCATCTCCAGAGTCCAAAACGATACCTACAGACATGGAAGCATCACATGTTACCACTTGCCATATCAAAATATCAAAAATAATATGTAAATCCAATGAATTTCCTTACCAGTCGTACGACCACTGGCATAAAGGGAAAGAACAGCCTGAATAGCAACATACATCGCAGGAGTGTTGAATGTCTCAAACATGATTTGTGTCATCTTCTCACGATTAGCCTTTGGATTGAGAGGTGCCTCTGTGAGGAGAACAGGGTGCTCTTCTGGGGCCACACGGAGCTCATTGTAGAAGGTGTGATGCCAGATCTTCTCCATGTCATCCCAATTGTTCACAATGCCATGTTCAATTGGATATTTTAAAGTTAAGATACCACGCTTAGACTGTGCTTCATCCCCAACATAGGCATCCTTCTGGCCCATACCAACCATCACACCAGTGTGGCGGGGGCGACCTACAATGCTGGGGAAGACGGCCCTTGGAGCATCATCTCCAGCAAATCCAGCCTGAAAAATTAAAGGTTTTCAATTTTAAAAGAATCAACATGTAAGTTCCAAAATTCATATAATATAAAGCTAATCTTCATTTAATACACCTATTGCCATCTATATCTAAGTATAAAAATAGAATTTGAATACTAGAATTACAAGAAATTCTGATTCGGTACCTTGACCATTCCTGTCCCATTGTCGCATACAAGAGGCTGAATATCCTCACCTTCTGCCATTTTCTATCACCTGCTAGTAAGTCACCAAAAAGCACCAAATTCAAGCTGGTGTAGAAGTAATTTATATAAAAATATGTGTGTAAAAAATGGTAACCAGTTCCACTTCCTTGCCCACCAACGTTAGTTGATTTCTCTTCATGTAACATTTCATACACTAATAGCTCATTTAGTCAACTAGAAGATGTATTTACTTTTTACCAATAAATAGAAGATGCAGATCATCTTATACAATCAGTCAGTTGCATCTGAGATATGAAAGTGCTATGGGCAATTGGTAAAGGAACCCATACACTTTCTTGTTAATGAAATTTCCTGTCTGACAATCTAATAGCAATAAAAATGTAATAGAAGTTCACCGATTTCAAAAGAATACAAGATCTTGGTATAATAAAAACGAATGCAAAAGGGACAAGATTGAAAAGATTGACATCTAAATTTTATCTCGAATATAAATTACCATATGGATGAACACCAAGCATATAAAAGGAGTCGCAAGACTTGAATAATATCCTTCTAACAATTGTTCAAGCCAGATATACTTTAACTCAAATCAGGCCAGATATAATCTGAAAGAAAAGGATTTTTTAGCATTACATTACCATGGACAGTTGAATGTAATGAGAAATCCTGATTGACGCCAGGAAATAGAGGTCAAAATTACTACCAGCAGCATTTCAACAATATTGGCAGGATGCCAGACAAAGAAACTTTCGAATCTCGTCAAACAAGTCTTTGGGGTCAACATGAACCGTGGGAATTGAAATGCAAATGCAGAAGGAGATTCAGACGGGGAAAAGAAATTAACAGATTAAATCCTTATTACCAATCAATCCAATAATTAGCAATGCAGATTGAAAACGAGAACCAACAGGAGACCCTTTAGAAAATTATATTGTATGAACCAATACAATGAAAAAACAGGTCAAAAGATGAATCACGATAATTAAAAAAAATGAAAATCCGCAAACTCTGTTACTAAAATCTTATTATGGAGATCTGCAATTAATAAATTCGATCTAACCACATTTCAATGGATCAATTTCAACAAATGAATCACCAAAACCATGGATTCGAACAATCAAATAGAGAAAAGAAATGGACATTAAAACAATCATTATAGTCTCCTCAGTTGTATGATTCCGATAATGGCAATTGATCGGAATGCTCTTCTAACTATGGCAATTGAAACAAATGATAATGAATTACCTCTGAAACCTTGAAATGGTTGTTTGTCAGAGACTCGGAAACCCCCTTCTTCCTCTTCCTCTTCCTCTTCTTCTTCTTCTTCTTCTCCTCTCTCTCTCTCTCTCGGTAAACTACAAATTACAAAATTTATAGAACGGAAATAACCACAAATTCATACTGCTGGATCTCGGCCGTTTGTTTTAAAAGTAGGATCTACGGCCCCAATGACGCGTCACCAGAGCGATGGAAACAGCTGGTTCCTAGTCCGAGATCAGGCATGCTTTTGATTACTTCTAGCCATGATGATGAGACAAGTATGCCCCAGCCCATTTTCTTTTCTATTTGTTGGGGTCAGGCCCAGCCCAAATTAAGCGTCTGGTCAAACCATAGTTAGTAAATCCATGTAAAATACGCATTTTAAGCATGTAAATTATTCGGAAAAATATGTAATATGCGAATATTTTGGATTTTAAAATATGGAGGACCACAATTTTCGGAATTCTCATTTTCTATATTTTTAAATTTCTAAAAATATTTATGTTTAATTTTTTTTATTGAACACGAATATGCATTTGATCAATCTTTTGCCGTATTATGTTTGTCTGACTGAATTTTTCACATATTTTTTATTCTTAATTTTGAAAGATATACGACTGTTTCCCATGTCATATTTATGCTGTACATATATTTACCAAGTCTTACCAATTACGCAGCCCCTCCACCTGGAGAATAAACTTTGGGATTCAAAAAAAAATGCCCTACCAATTATGGTCCGGCTCCGGACCCATCAGGGGTTGAGCCAGGTTGGCCTATATTTTAGGCCCAAGTTCAAATTTAGAAGTATTAATACGTGAGTCCGGATTTCTCCCTCACGCCAACTTCATAATACGTTACAGCCACATATCGGGAATATCTTCCGTATTTGTATATTTTCATTCATGGAGAGATGTTTCTGTATAATATACAGATGCAAGTACTGTAAGGTGGGTGTAAGGACCACTCTGTGAACTTAAATAAAATATAGGGAAATTTAGAGTTCAGTCCACCTCAGGTATTTTTATTAGGATTTTGGGCTTTATTTACCAACAATTCCACCTATGATTCATTACTTCATACTTCTTCCCTTGAATTTTGATTCATTCCCTCACCCATTAGTGTTCCAACTGTACTAAAGTTTATAAATGGACTTAAAAAATATTATATGGTATTTACTGAAACTTAGGCTCAGTATGAAAGGAGTATAAATATAAATATATAAAGTGCAAAAACCTTGTAATTTGTATATATGTACATTGTACGTATTTATATTTATATTTATACTCTTTCTGAACTGAGTATAAATATAAAAATGTAGAGTGCAAAATCTTATATTTTTGTATATATTTATACTTCTTCCAAACTGAGTCTTAATAAAAATATTTGCATCGATACTTTGAATCTCGATTAAGCCTAATGTGTGGGCCTAAGTCAGAAGTCAGGCCTAGGCTTGCATAAAGCACTTAGCCCCATATATATATATATATATATATATATATATATATATATATATATATATATGTGTGTGTGGTCTAGGTGGTCTGCTTGTATCCCTTCCATTAAGAAGGCACGGTTTAAAGTCCATAGAAAAGAAAGCATTTCTGCAAATGGCCCGGTCCCATGTGGATGTGGCAAGTGGCAACTCAACTCAACCTGCTAATACTAACCACAAAACTGGTATGTAGCACCTCACCCTTATGGGGGCCAAAGCTGCAATGCAATACATTTTATAGGAAAAGCACTTCAACTTTATATAGACTTTTAGAACCGACTGAAATTTCCTCTACTTTACAGAAAATAGCTTATAAGAAATCCACTTTGTTTGCATGGTTGAGACCTCCTTCTGTTACATGTCCCTCACATGGGCTAACAAAGTGCTTTTTTAAGGAATGCTATCATGTTGCTTTTAGATATTTTCATAAGTTCAAAATATTTAGGAGGAGTTCTACAACATGAATCTTTTTCTTTTTCTTGTTGGTTTCAATAATAAATCAAAATCACCTGGTTTTGAAAATAGATTGTTTCTCAAAATGAAAATACAGAAAACATATTCTTAGTTGTGTATGTATTTTTTTTCTGGACTAAACCTAAAAACTATGCTCTTGAATTTTTTATTTCAAAAAATATGTTTTCATCTAGTTATTTAATACGTTGTTTCATAAACTATTTAACTTCTATGACTACAAAGTTTGTTTCTGTTTTAAAAACCTTCATTTTGGTTTTTCCAAAAAAAATATGTATTGTTCTTTTTTTTTAAAACAAAACCAACTTGTTTTTATCTTTTAAAACAAAAACAGAGTTCAAGAACACGTTTTTGGTTTTTTGCTGATATGGCAATTTCAAAAACAAATAAAAACACTCTCTTAGGGGGTGTTTTACAACAGCATGATTGATTTCGTTCTCTTGAAACAAAAACAAGTACATCAGTAAATTTTAAAAAACAAAATCATTGAAATCAAAATACCTTTTACCTCGCCTAGGCCACAATGTATCAACCATCTAGGAAGAGTATAGACGAATTTGAATAAAAAAGTCAGCATAGAACTAGGATTAGAGAATGATTTTTCCAAAGAGAATATTGTTTTCCTATGAAAACGATCTTCATAGTTTTAATCTTTTTGGACCTTAAATTAGATAGATACATCATGCATCCTTTGTCATTTAGTGGGGAGTTTTTTTTTTTTTTCTGCTCCATGGACCTACATAGCAAGGTAGCTCATCCCCTAAACCTGTGCTGGTACATGCAAGATTTGATCCCAAGTCTCTGTTAGTGAAAAACCTTACAAACTAGCCAATTGACACCTTACATCATCATTATACGTTTTCACCTATTACCATGGTCTTTAAAACGGACCCGGTAACCGAACCGGTCAGGGGTCTGGTTACTGGGTCAAACGGTCTGATCATTCAAATCGAACGTTCGAAACGTTCTGACAGAAAAATTAAAAACGGTCAAAACCGTTTGAACGATTCGAACAGTTAATCGCCCAGTTCAGCGGTTCGCTGACCAAAATCAACGGTTTTGGGGAAAACGGAACCGGTCAGGTGGCCAATTCCCCTTTTTCTGGTACGGTTTTGAAAACCATGCCTATTACCAGTGTTTTCAAAGCCGGATCAAACCGGACAGTCAGACCAGAAAAAACAAGAACTAGTCACATGATCAGTCCCATTTCACCCCAAAATCCATTTTTTGGCCAAAATCCATTGATTTGGTCAGTAAACTGCTGACCTGTGCGGTCAAACCATCGACCCAGACAACAAAATTTGGTTGTTTTCTTGTTTTTTTATTTTTTTTATTTTTTATTAGAATGAGTCAATTCATTCGGACTAGATGATTGGACCATTTGACCCAGGAACCAGACCCAAAACGGTTCCCTGTCCTATCCAATTTTAAAAACCTTGCCTATTATTATTACATAAAGCAAATACTTTTCTTGGGTTTTATACAGGTCATAAAAGTTAAATCCAAATAAAACTTAATTGCACATGATGCATAGTTGGTGTTATAACACTGGTTTTTATAAAGTAGGTTCAATGATATGGGATGTCTAAACCTATTTTTGAAAACCAATGAAATTTCGGCTAGTTTTATACAGTATGGAGAGAATTTGAGTAAGTTTTCCTGCATGTATTGAACAGATGATCTAAACGACCATTTTATAGACAAATAAATGACTATAATGTAAATTAACATTCACTCACAAAAGGAAAAAGTGAGATATATGTATTTATATTACATACATATTACATGTATATATGTATTTATATTATTCAAAACAAAAATATCTGCAGAGTTACATAGGTCCTAAATCTATCTTAAAATCTTCTTATTTCATATTCAAATTAAAAAGTTAGTCCATATCCTTTAATTTAATGGCAAACCAAATCTAATTTAGTTTTCATACTTAAGTAAAGAACTCGGCCCAATGGCTCATACCACTCTTCTGGACACTTGGACAGTGTGTAATTCAACCATAGATAAAACCTAATTTAGAAAGCCAAATCAAATAAAACGTTCAGCATAAATGCTTCAAGATATACCTAGATTAGATCAGAAATTCAATTAAACATTACCCATTGAATTTAAATTGGACTGGGATTGGATGCAGATGTAGAGAATTAATAAATTAAACTAAATAAAATTTGATATTGCATATTATGTAATGAAGTGACTTGAAACAACTTTATTTAGACGAATCCATGATTAACATCAAAACATTCAATCCAACTTACTGATAAATACGTGTTGATTTTATGTAAACATGAGATTTGAATTTGAATTTGGATAAAGGATACTACTTGCAGCAATATAATAATCAACATGATCTTTATCATTTAACCGTTATCTGTTTCTTTCCCATAGATAGAACCTCTTGTTCTCTTGTCCAGATAGCTTCTGGAAACCTCTTGTCTACGTCCTACGTACATTTATTAAGATTAAGTGCAGTCGTGCAGAGTATGGAGATTCATCTAACTATATTTATTTAGCAATTTTTGGTTCTTAAAACAGATGTTCTGAGTTCAATAAATGAATGTTCTTTATCACCACATTTTCTTGACAACTCTTGAAGAGGAGTTCTGGTTTTAAATGCCAACTAAAATTAGAAATAGAATGATTTCATTTCATTTCACATGCCTTCCAGTGGACATAAATCATCACTTGAGACGGAAGAAATAAAAGTTATGATTATTGGCCTTATCAAAGGACACCTAAAAGTTATGGATAATGACCCGGCTTCAACTCGAAACAAATAAGTGTTAGATTATTAATACATATAGCTTCTAGGAAGAAATAAAAATGAAAAAGATGGGATTTAAGGCCCCTTTGAGGTCAATGTCCCATTTTGGAATGAGAGAAAAATGGGATAGAAATAAAAAGAAGAAACAAAACATTTCCAGGCAATGCACAATCGATCAGAAGCAATATTTATCCGACGTATGGTACTTGTCTTCAAAACCTCTTTCCTTTCCTGGGCATGATCAGAAGCATTTCCTGTGCACAATAGATGGCCCAGACTCATCGTACTCTCCCTTTGAAATCCACATCTGCAGCAAGGGAAAAAATAAAATAAAATCATGTAATCAGACAATCTG